TAGTCATTACATTGAACTCAATTAATTGATCAAAATGTTGTTGATGATTGTCACAAATAGTTTAGAAAAGATTGGAGTGATTTTGAATTAATTTGGAGGTTCAATTTGAAGGATTTTGGGCATTTAGTCAATTTTTTGGGTGTTGGGTTAGACTTGGGTTTGAGTTGGGCTACATTTTGGCTAAGGCCCAATTTATGGTTCAATTTGATGTGGGTGATTGTCATGAAGAGTTTTAGATATCAATTGGGTGGAAAGTTTAGGGTTATGGAGTTCAATTTGGTTGAATTTGGGGACATTCAATTTGGTTGGAGTTCAATTTGGTTGAATTTGGGGACATGGCTAATTTAGGGCAAAATTGGGGGTTTTGGTCCAAGTTGATTTTGAATGAAATTGGGGCTTGAAAAAGTCTAATTTAAGATTCAATTTTATTTGGGGAAGTTTTTTAAAGAGTTTATGATGCAAAATTGGGGCAATTGGAGGGTCTGGGGTTCAATTGAGTGAAATTTTGGTTTTGGGTCAAATTGTGACTTTTTTATTTACATTGAAATTGGATTCAAATGTGGGTCAATTGGGATAGGATTTGGTTTCAATCAAGCTTTTTTATGATGAATTTGAGTTTAGAATTGAAATTGGGGAATATGGGGATCAAATTGGTGGACATTGGGGGTGAATTGGGGTAATTGGGCCTTTAAAGACAATTTGGGGTTTTTGGTCAAAATAGATAAATTGGTCAAATTGAGCTCGATAGAGTGGTTCAAAGTTAAATTTGTGGACATTTGAAATGATTTTGAAGGTTTGGGACAATTTTCACCAAGGGTATTTTGTTAATTTTGGCAAAATGAGGGGTATTTTGGTGATGTTTAAGAGTTTGAGGTGCTTTGGGTAATTTGGGTAGTATCAAATGGTTTGAGATGCTTTTTGGAATTTTGGTCAATTTTGAGGTTTAAAGGGTAATTTGGTAATTTGGGTAGATTTGGGAACAAAAGGCCAAGGGTACTTTAGTAAAATTGGGGTGTCAATCACCCTGCTTGAGCCATGGACCAATAAAATCCTCATGTACTGGTCTTAGCAAAACCCTAGTCTAGGGCTAATGGGTCTAGGGGACAATCTACATGAGTCTCCTAATGGGTTAAGAGATCAAATTCAACCATGTTTGGGCTTAGGGTAGTAAGTGGAAGTGTAATGTGCAAGTGTGTGGGTGAAACCAACCAAGACCACACCACCAGAGGGTTAACCCTAAGTCTAAGCAGTCCTATGGGGACTCCCCTTGAGCTCCCCCATATTGGTCCCACCTACTAAGTGTTATAGGTTATGACCAATATGTGAAACTTTAAGTTGAGCAAAGAAGAGTTTAGAGTTTCTAATGGTGAGGGTTCCCTTCTAGTCCTCTAGGAATAGTCAACAGTTAAGTAGAACTTAGGCTACCAAAGAGGAAAGACTGGACCTCAACCAAAAGTGAGGTTAACAGCTGGTAACTCTAAGTTAAAAAAAAACCAAAGCAATGCCTTTGGCTATAACAAATGTTAAGGTTTGCTTTCCCTTTAAAATAGTGAGTAGACTATACTACTTGCCTAAATGATGAGATTGTAAAAGGCTTATATTATTTATGTGGAGTGAAGGACATTTACACAAACTAAAGTAGCCTAATTAAGTAACTTGTTGTATCCTGACATGAACATAGAATATCCTAATCAATTCATATATTTGTTGATTATGTAAATCTTGCTTTAGCTTTTCAAAGTATCTATTGGCTAAAATAAAAAAAATTATTTATGTTCTTGGGTTAGATTATTATCACTAATGTGCTTAATAGTAATATCAGAAAAGTTACACACTAAATTCGCTCCCATCTTAGTAATTTTAGTAAACGCTGAGAATCTCATTTATATAGTATAGGATAAACATAACACTTTTGTTGAGTATCATATGCATTTAATTTTGTCATCAAAATGGTAAGGGAGTGTCCTGCTTATGCTTTAAAATTTCCTCCTAGCTTTATGTATTAGCAACTTGTAAAATAAAACGTTTAGAAGGAGAAGACAAATAAAAGACCTTTAGTTAATGATGAAGTCTTAACATGGAGTCATCATATATCAATTTGTAAATGATGCTTGACTCTATCATGTTATTAGCAACCATTATGAAGAATATGAGGTTCTTAATGGCCTCTAGGAATTTTATGGAGGAGACTTTGTTGATGGGTGTCTACTAGCTCACACCCTTTGTAAGCAAAATTTTATGTTGATTGTCACCCTTTAAAGAAAATTTTAAATATATTATTCTTTTAAAAAAAGTTCAAATTCATTGTTCATTGTAGGAAAATGGCAGATCCATTGAACATAAGCATGTAGAAGATATTTAATATTGTTTTGTGGTGAAAATAAATACGACTCTAAAATTAAAACTTTTCTAACTCATGCATTACAAAATCTAAGTCATTTATTGAGCCGCATAAACCCAAGACTTAATTCTATCATGGTTAGATCAAGAAAATATGCAACTATTAATTAGTTTAAGTTGAATGTTGTATCAACTAGTTGAATTGGGTTAGTATATACATAATAGTTTTGTCTTATTTTTGGATACAAGTTTTACAAATATTAGTTCAAAGATTTTAGGTGTTAAATAGTGTTAGAGAAATTTATAATTTTTTATTAAACGAGAAACTATAAACTCTTGTACATATAGCATAAATAAAAGAGCAGCAAATCTTAAAATTTCTTATTAGCATATTGAACTGTTAAGCTCTCTCTAAATCACTATAATGAGCTTTATTGATGATCATATTTTTGAATGTGACAATATAAAGCATCTCTCTGATATAATTTTTTTGAAATACTACGAGTCTACAACTAAAAAAAATTAATTAAGATGATTATAAATCTCTTGTACTGATCTCTCAATTCATTTAAATTTCATCCTATGCGTAGCACCAATGAAATAAAAGTATTGAAGAATCTATTAGAGGAATTATTAGGTAAGCCAAGCAACTGTCATGCTTGTTGCATTTGGGATACATATTATTATTTATTGCTATACACTACTATGTATACAAAATTAGAAGAAGAGCATATACATCTTCAACTATAGTAAATAACTCATTATATATAATTCGGTAGAATGTCAAATTGTTCTGTATGTCAAAATGCATTTGACAATATGTTTTTTGACATTTTAGGCTAAACAGAAATATCAAGACATGCGGAATTTTTTTTTTCTTTACTGTAATTTATTAGAAATGTTGATTATCGATATTTGACATTACTTGATCTCAAGATCTTGGTATCAACTTTCAAAAATTTTGCCAACTAAACTAGTAGACATCCGCCAGCCAATAGCATTACAACACTGGCGCCCAAAAAAAAAAAATAAGCTCAAGAAGGAACTCAAAAAATTTTATTATTTCTACAGACAAAACAAGCCTACTTTGGCACTAATTCTTCTTATTGTTCCAACACAGAATTTAATTGGATTTAAAAAATACCCCTTATACGTGGCATGCAACAATTTTCGTGTGTTTACATATCTCACCCTTAAAATTCAATATTTACTTTTATGACAATTTTGTGTAAAGACCTATACATTAGAATGTGTATTTAACTTTTAAAAGTTAGTAATAGAAATATTTTTGATTTAATGCCAAACATTTTAGTGTTTTGCAAGTGAATATGAAATTGTAATTATTAGATATATGAATATATAAGAATTGTGAGGCTTCTACTTAAATTACCTTTTTTTTTTCTTTTTTTTACTGCATAGGTCTAGCAAAAGCCTGGGCTTTCCATTTAATACCATCCATGCTTTTATTAAGCCAAAACTGCTTTCATATCATGACATTTCTACCCACGTAATAAACGGAATCCCTTAGATCCATGCCTACAAGCACTGTTCAAAAATGAAACTATCGACTTGGTTATCCAGACTCTTTCGCTCCACCATGGGAACGTGGAGTTGCCAACTATCTACATTTAAATTCACTCGATGCCTGTAAAAATATTAAAAACAAAAAAAAAAAAGAAAGCAATAGGTCCTCTTGACTGGAATGTCGGAACTTCAAGGTCCATGACAGTAGCTGTAAGGTCAAAATTCTTCTTATCACAATGATGAATATCATTAGTACACCAAAATATGTTGATGATTCGGTGTGGAGAAGCTAACTTCCCCTTAATTATGTTTTATCAAACATAAGGTTTCAATGCAATCCAGCTTAGCGTAATCTCTCAACCAAGAGATCCTGCTCTCAAAATTATAAAAAAACAAAAAAATGAATCTTTCTATTCATACCATTTAGCTCCTATGTATTTGCATATCACCAAAACATCTTTCTATTCATACCATTTAGCTCCTATGTATTTACATATTTCAATTTTTACACACATCCCACCTTACCTATGAATAAAAAGCTGTATTTCCGGTTTTAACCTTACCTATGGATGAAAGAGTGAATCACTTTCTCAAAGTTAAAATGGAGTTATTTTTGATGTGATATCCACCCCCTACATTAATTGCAGGAATAGTCAGGTGGGACAACATATTCCAGGATTTCAAGCCAAATCAAGTGTTACAAGTCCTCATCTCTCTGTAATTACAAATAGACTGGAACAGTCATCTCTCTGTAATTCCGCTTAGACTGGAACAATAAGAAGATAGCAGAAGATGAATCTCTCTTCTCCTGGGTATTCAAGGTTACTCAAATAGTAGTCTAGACCGGTTGTTCTAAAGCTGAAATAGTTTTCGTTTCCTAAAATACTAAAAATATAAATTATGTGATCACTAGAAAGGATGAAGCCAATGAAAGCTATCTTCAGAAAGCTACAATAAGCAGGGAAAAGGTCTAACAAAAGCATGACCACAGCACTGTGCACATCAGGTACCCCATAACAATCATATCAATCTTAACAAAATTCATCAGACTAAATAACTTTTCATAGCAAATCCAATTATCAACAAACAAAGCACATCCAACATATCTTAACATTAAATGTGCATTCTTCCGATGATTTCTCATGTAAAATTTACTTTAAACTAAAACAATAGTTTTCTCATGTAAAATGTCCTACAGCATCATTGTCACAAAAATATATCATGCACTGAAGGTAGAACATACTTGAGGAATAGTTTAACCAAAATGAAGACATTCAAACAGAAGTTCTAATGTTGTGAACTTGAAGGCAGGCGAAACGAGCCACTTGAATAAAGCATCTGGTATACGGGCTTTATTCTAACTGTCAGGATAACACTCAACACAGATCCCAATGCACAGACTCCGGCTAGAACAAGGAATGTGAGCCCAAAGCAACTGGGCCCAAGGCAGGTAGTTCCACCCTGCTTTGCAGCTTCGTTATCATAGACATACCCTGCAAGTATAGCTGAGAGCAAGAGTGCCCCAAGAGGATTTCCTAACAGCATGAAATTGTAAATGATTCCAAAGTGCTTTAATCCAAATAGTTCCGATGCGGTCGGCACCATCACAGAAAATTGAAAACCATAGCAGATACCAAGAAGTGAAGTTGAAATATAGAGAGTACCATGAAGGCCTAATGCAAAGAGAAGGTAAGTAACGACCATTATCAGTTGAGTGAAAGCCATCCATACGGGTCGAGGAAGCATTTTTGATCTGTAGGAGAGATAACCATAAAATCATATTGTCTAAGAATTGCATTAGTTTGAAGAGAACAAGAAGATAAAACCAAATATGTGTTACCTTACATAATACTCGGAGACGGAACCACCGCCAAGCCGGCCAACAAAATTGCAAAAGCTGAAAAGACACAATAAAACAGTTGTATCATTGACACCTGCAGCAATTCCAATCTGCGCCAGGTTATTTAGTACCGTAACACCCGAACCAACCCCAAGGAAATAACAAAGAAATAATAACCAAAAATCAGCCTTGATCAAGGCTTCACGAAATTTAAAATCTTCCCCTCTCTTAGGTTTTCTTTTCTTCTTCATATGTACAGCACCTTCCCCTTCAGCCAATAGAAGATCCACATCAAAAGAATCATCTGACTCCTGAAAGCTACTAAGATTTGTTGCAGATGAAGACGCGGCAAGCAATGGTTCTGTTGTATCTTGATCAAGCTGAGATAGTTGATCGG